ATTGACCTAAATCAGTTTTTATCACTCGCTTTTATTAAGTTACTTATACTTTGAGGTTGAAAAATCTCACCAGCTCAGTCTACTTGAGCTGGATTCATTTAGAAAAAGTCTGTTTTTGACCTGTGGGCATGCGCAGATCAGTCCTCTCTACGCTAGACGGTACATGTCACATCATGCCCGCAACTGACCAGGTGGAACTGGACCTCATTGAGCTGGACCTAAACATTGCTTCAATGGCACTTGTGATTATTTTCAGCGTAACAGCGATTCTTGTGCTTGGCACACTCATTTGGTGAGTCAATATCTTACACTTGTGCAGACCGTTTTGTTTCTGTAAGTCAGCACCAGTTTTTTGTGCTTGCTAGTAATGATGTGTAGTAATGTCGGCTAACGCTAGCTTCAATCCACAACTTCCTTAGTGTTGAAAATAGGTAACTTTCAAGACTTTTGTCACGTTAAAATTGAGGAAAAACTTTAGTGTAACGGTCACGGGCGTGCTCGTCATGCGCACGCGCCCACCCGCCAGGCCAGTAACTTTTGCGGAGTACTGACTAACATGAGAGACAGGCGGTGTGTGAGTTTCCTGAGCTTTATAACTGTTGTTTAAAAGCTCAGGCAGAACATCAGAACAAGTCTGGATGAAACATTTTATTTTAAGCTAGGCTGTAAAGTTAGGACTATGCTAGTTTAGCCAACTTTAGCTACCAACAATAACAGTCTGTGTTTATCAAAGAAAGGATTACCACTGTGTGTCGACATATGATAGGGGATATAACCACAGTCAACTGACTTAATGTTATTTTATTTAACACTCCGCACTTAACGCTAGTCGATATTCGCAGCTGTGCCGTTTCCATGGTTACCACGTTTAGCGCGCCCAGGTCAGACTCTGTACTCAATAAGAGTGCCTTCCTGACTGAAAAGATCTTTACACTCAGTTTATCATAGCCTGTTATGATAGGGACCGTATTTGCTGGCATACTCAGTGGCTTACATTATTCTTTAAGGTCATCTTGTCAAGGATATGTACATTCTAATACTGGGAACTTTCTTTGTGGGTTATAGGCCTATGTTACAGTTTTCACTTGGACTGGACACAAGATGTTTGTGAGTTGTGGTGAGCTTTGGTTGTGTTAAATTGTTGTATTTTTTTTAACTGTCCCCTTCCAGGCTCAGGCAGATGGTGATCAATCCACACATTCCATAATCTCAGCAATAAAAGATATTTTCACCTAATAACTGGCTACACATTGCATGCTAAAGTAAAAGTTATGCTTACATCAGAGCAATTTAAGAAAATCAAAATAAATCTATCTCGTGAGTGTTAAACTTAATTCATCATTGTAGTATATTTCATCATACAAAATATTTTTTTGTGCATATTTTTAATTTCAAATATTTGATGTAATTAGTATTTCTGGACTGTCTCTATAGATACTGTGGGTTCGACTTATAGTTCATCATACCCAGGACTACAGTTCCCTTGATGTCTAGCCACATAAGTGAGTCATTTACCATTTATAATTTTCCTTTTGTACTGCTGTGTTCACTTGGTACCTGTTCTTGTCTTAAAGAAGTTTAATGATTAAAATGTTGATAATTAGATAGATTTTTGCAAGGATTTAGTTTTTTCTATAGCTCTGGTATTTCAAGTCTGATACTGCATATAAGTGTTTTTGCCTTTCTATTTTGCCACCTTCTCTGTCACTCAGTTGTCTGAACTAAATGATGTTTTCCCGATTTCACTTTACAGAGTTGGAGACAAGCAGCTTGTCACACTAAAACAGCACATATTACGCTGAGTGAATCAAACAGTTATCAAAATGGACCAAAGGTTGTTGCTGAGAGTCATCATCGCTGAAGACGATATAAGGAAGTTGACTTTAAATAAGAGACCACAGTCCATTGAAGAATTCAAAGTGCAACTGGTGGATAAACTGTCACTGCAGTACGACTTTAAACTGCAGTATGAAGATCAAGACTTCCATAATGCCCTCTGCAATTTGACTGAAATAACAGATTTACCTGAAAGAGCTACAGTAAAAATCATCCCTCTTGTGACTCTCCATTTAACAGTATTGTCATCACCCACCACAACATCAGACACTGAGTGCAGCACAGCATACGCTGAGATCCTGTCGACTGTAGGAGCATCACCATTGCTAAGACAACAGTGGCCAGAGTTCTTTGACATACCCAATTTCTCAGTTGATGTTGAGTATAGACTCAGACAGGCAGATCTTGCCTTTATGAAAGATGGAACACTTATGACTCTACCACGAGATATGAAGCATGACATACTAGAAAAGCTTGCTGAGACAATGTACAGTTTCAAGGCTTACCCTGAAGATGATGACTTCAGCAGTGTTGGAAAAGCACTGATTAGCAAACACCCCTGCCTCACTGAGCCTGGACCACACAGATGGTATGGCTGGAAAAACAGCCTTAAATTTAAGATGGCCAATTATCTCACAAAGCTTCGAAAAGCTGGATGTGAGGATGTAGCAATCAATGGAGGCAAAAGAAGTAAAGGCAACCCAGAGGGAGAATCCTCAAGCAAGAATATCAAACGGCCAAAAAGAGGTGAAGCAAACTACCTGCCTAACTTACCTGAAGGACATGATGAAACAAGCCTTGAAAATGCCAGAAAGGTTCTCGTGAAAGGAATGAAGAAAAAACAACCAAATGGCACTCTCATCTCACAAATGATGGACCAATCATTCCCACTACGCAGACAAGAAATTGTAAAAAAGGAGCCTGCTGTACAAAACATGGTTGAACGATGGCCAGCACTCTTTACAGAGAGACAAGTACGCTATTTTTGTTCTCAACTAATAAAATAATGCCAATCAAAAAGAAATTCAAGGTGTCCAACACTTGTTGGAATGTTAATACCTCTGCCACCTCTCCATCCCTACCCACCCCTCTCTCTATTTTTCAGGTGTTTTCTGAGTTTAATAGAATCGCCAGTAAGAATCTTGAGGGAGACTTCTTAGAGGCTCTGGACCAGTACGCCCCACGTTTCATCAAACTTTTCAAAACAAAAAAGGGAACTGTTGGCCAGAAACTCAGTGAGCTGATGCAGCACATGCGCTGGATGGTAAGTAGGTTCATTTTGCTTTTGATCTGTAGGATAGTTCATCAATCAAGTTCTAAATGATATGATCCAAACCTATTCTGTTTCCTGTCTGACTTGTGCTTGTGCCTTGCAAATTACTCTGTTAACTGGTCTTTTCTCTCTCTGTGTATCATTAGACACCAGACGTGACAGTACTTCGCTCTGTTGTCCTCAAAGGCATTCCCATTTTACTCGGTGACGACTCCAGTGAATTCTCCAAGACCTGGACCTGGACCGTGAAGCTGATTCAGCTGCGCACATTTGTATTTCTTGCTCGTTCTCGCTTCTCG